TTATTTATTTTTTACAATGAAAAAATAGAAAAGATTTTCTCATATTTTGTTCAAAACTAAGAGAAAATTCTAAAAGACTTTAAGAGAAATATTTATTTCGAGATGTTTTAAATGTATCAATAATTTGTTTTGATTATGTTACTAGAGTAGTATTTGTGTATGAACGTGTGCCTCTGACTAATTGTTGCTTTCAAATATGTAGTATGTAGGTAGCACTGACATAGGAAAATAACAAAATAATGCTTTGTGATTAATAAAATACTCATAAACTGTCAGCCAGAAAACTGACAAACTAATTGAATAATTAATATATGTATTAATTAATAATTTCTTGTAGCTTACTTGACATGACGTCAACCATTTCAAATTTCATTCATTTTTATGATAAATTTATAAATAAATTTGAATTTATTTCATCAAATACCATCGATTAATTTCTTAATATAAATTCTTTAAAATATATAAAATTTTGGTTTTTTGACACATTTTACTTTTTTAAAATAAATTTTATTCTTAATTTTTATCAATAAATTTGGATAGGAGAGTTTTAAAATCGCTAATTAAATAATAAATTATTAGTTACTTTAATTATTCTTAAACTTCTTAATTCATAAGTTAATTAGTAATAGGCATTTAACATATAACATAGGTCAACGAAAGATGAAAAGTGTGACAAATGTTTAATCTGACAGATCAAAACTGCGGAGCAGAAAGAGTATCTCAGCATTACAGATCTTGTTACACAGTATCGAAAATGGGAGAGATATAATAAACCTTGACAGGGGTTTCCTGTTGATATTTCTCCCAAGTTTAATTGTTCACCTTTCCCGGATGGTCGAACAATAACATGTGACAGGAAGAGCTACTTATTGAATTGTAAACAATGTAATTTCTATTCGAATCATTACTACTATATAAAAGGTTCAGAAACCTGCAAAAGTTGAATGGCACTCGATAAAGTCAATCAACTTTAATTAAAGTGAATTTTCAGAAAAGATATAAATACGTGTATATATACGAATAAAATTAAATTTTCAAATAAAATACAGTACAAAAAATTGCAATAAAATTATATTTAATTTTAATTTTTTTAAGAGAACAGTAAAGATGTAGTAATTTATGTTTTTGAGAATATAATTACTAGTTACATCTGAAAGTTACAAGTGTTTTTTTTTTCATTTTTATTGCTTTAATTTTTAAACAATTTATTGTTAAACTTCTTTAACGTCACGGTGGTTCTGTTTTCACGAGTCGTTTCTCACACATCCTTACTTAAAGTCGTTTATTAAATGCCGTCTTTCTGGTGATCTTGCTGGCTAACATCAAAAGAACCGGCATTTTTGATGGGAAATACTTGTCTGGTCATAAGGCGTGAAAAAGGTCAGTGATACAGGTTGTCGCACGCTTTTTTCCCCCTCCTTCTACTCGTCGAGAGGAAACGAATTCGCCCTTTAAAATCAAGATTTGTATACAATTCAATTCGTTTCTAATATAATTACAGAATTTATTATTGATACGTTAATTATCTCATGTGTTCTGCTGTTCCAAACTTTATCCTTTCCTTTAAAAATCACTAAAAGATGAATCTGTAATTAGCATTACTAATTAAAAATCATATTATAATTCTAACGTCACAAAATTAAATCACAGAAATTACTTTTATTAAAAATAGATTATGAGCATGAAAGCAGAGTCATCGCACAAATATTAGAATTAATAAATAATACAGTAGTTTCATAGGTGGCGCTTTAAATATCCTTGTGGAGCCGTGTCTTATAATTCTACTAGTAGCGACATCTGAAAAAAGTTCGCAGCGACACCTAAAAAATTCCAATTGACGGCATAAGTTGAGAAAGTAATCAAATAGCTTTCATACGAATAATTTTCTAATAGATAACTGCAACTTTATCTAAAAATTTTAAAATGGTTTTCTTTGCAAGTACACTGAAGTTGAAGAGCTGATTCTACGCTAATCAATATTTTTATTCTTATTTTTTTTAATGACGTCAGTCTTTGACGTTTATCTACGTGCAAAGTAACTAATTATATTAATTATTTTATTTTTTGTTTTATTTTGTACCTTTTCCGTTGGACGAATATAATTTCTTATAAATGACAAAGAATCACGAAGTATGAATGAAATGCGACAAGAAAAATTTTTATACTTGAATGCTAGATAAAATGTTTCATTCTTCTGAATGGTCGCTTTAGTTTTCATTATTAATAATTTTTTACATAAGTACAAAGAACAATATTTGAAAATTTAAGGATTTATATATATATAAATGTATGTATCATTCGTCAATAGATGGCGATAGATGTCGATAATCATTAATTTCAAATTCAATAACGTGATTTACATCTTAATAATCTAATTATTGTTTATTTTAAATATTATTTAAGCATTTTAGACTATTTTTTTTAGATTTATTATTGTTGTTAACGGATATAATTTACATAAAAATAATATAACTTAGAACTATAAATTTCTTCCGTTAATTTTAAAATATATGACTTGGCTTCAGGCAAAAATTTTTTTTAAACAGCAATTTTTGTTTCGTCTTCCGTTAAGTTTAGCTAATTGGAAATTTAATACAGTCAGCTTATGTATATAAATATGAGTAGATTCTATTTAAAGAGTTATTATTGTTTTAGAATTCTTTAATGTTTATATTAAAATGTAATTTGAGAAGTTTAAAAAATTTTTCTCAATTTATTCGAATTTAGCCTTAAATACTTGGCTTGGGGTTAAATATAGATAAAAAATTTTAGTTAAGATTATTATATTAATGGGGTTTTCTGCATTTTATCATAATGGGGGCATTAATCTCTTGTATTTTATGACATCACTATTGATATATTTAAAATAAATAATTATTCTTATATCTTATTTTCAAATTATATTCGAAAATACAATTAAAATGTAAAGTTTTAATTATAATTCGCCGCGCTTTAATTAAAATGTATTGTAATAAGACGACAAATATTTATTTCTTCTTTCGTGACATAAGCTTATGTTAATTTAGATTATTTGGAACGGAAGGAGATTATTTAAAAAATGAATGCCCTTTGGATGTTTACTGGTACACACACTAATAACAAAATATAGAAATTTTTTATATAGACTTCTGCCCTGCAGGCAAGAATTTTGACGAAGGATTCTTAAATAGAGTCACAACTTAAAAATTAGAAGTGTTAAATATTTTTAGAGTACAGAAAATAATCTTTATAGTTATTCATATAACATATTCATTTATCATAATATAATCATAAATATCTGGAGAGTAGATATCTTATGAATGTCTTTTGTATTTTTAACAAGGTTTACTCAAATTTGACTTACAATTAATCTATAATAATAGTAAATCACTAAGCTCTAAAGAAGTCTTTGAGTGTCTGATTATGATCAGAATTGATTAAATTTATTAAGAAAAATTATTACTAAATAAGAATAAACGTACACATTCTATTTAAATTTATTGATTTTTGAAAGTAAAGAATTTAAAATTATGTATATTTTAATAATATATGGTATTATCCGAAAATGTATAGAACATTAAAATAAACAAATATAAGTTATAAATATAAGATGTATTTAATGTTAAATTTTTGTGATAATATTTAACAATAGGGACTCAAACCGGCTATGGTATGATCCTGTCTGCGTGTTAGAAATAAGTTTACCTTCTGTTTCGTATCTAGGCTACTCCCTATCTATTCTCTACTGGTTTATACAGCTTGTCGTTCTTTAACGTACGATCTAATTCGCCAAATACCAAGTAACGTGAATCAAAAATATGATACGTAAATTCTGTTGATATTTTCGAAAATATATTAATACATATATAGTAGTTTGAAAATATATTTACTCTTGCTAGAGAATAGCCTACTCTTTTCTACTCTTGCTGTAAAGCATTACATGATCCAGTAACATTTAGCGAATAGGCCTGTATATGTACTGTATATAGTTAAGTGGATGTTATCTGTAATAGTTTACAATTATGAATATAATCTATACAATATTCTGATTAAAGTATTAAGCTTAAATCCAGTAATTCATCCTAACTTGGCCTACATATGTGTCATTTCCGTTATAATTCGAAAATATAAAGCGTTATAGATCTCTTACTTGTCGTTTCTCTCTTGGTTTAGAGGCTATACAGACGTATTCATAAGTATGGCATTCATCAAAGCTAACTAAAAATCAGTATTAATAAATACAAAGTACGGAACAAAATTAACGAAGTGTGAAGTGTGGGCGTATTGTTTTATACTTTGTAGAATCGGAAATTTGAATATTTAATGAAATTACTGTGTTAAAATCGGCGTAACATCTTTTTTAAAATAGAATGTTTTCAGTTGAATGATATTAAATTTTTATTAGCTAAACACAGAATACTTTCTAATGTATTTAGCTTATAAAAAGTTTAATAACTTTATGGATTCTCTGTGTAATATAATTAAATAGTAACGGTGGAAATAATGTAACTGTTGATATTATGCTGTACCAAATTAGTTCCACATCACANTCAAATATGCTTAATTACCTTACAATGCCAAAATTATTTAGTTAGATTTGTTTTGCTTTAAGACGTACAGACAAAGTTTTGTGCTATGTTAAAACTTTTAGACGTTTTTCTAGATTGCATAAATTGCCATATAAAGTTAAATTTGCTGCTGAAAATCACTTTCAAAATTTTCAGTTAAAATAGTTTATGTCATATGTATTATTATTCATAGTTTGTTCCTGTGCATTTACTTTTATGCGTTATGCACAGATTATATTCTTATTTATCAAACAATGTATACTTTATGTATTACAAAACTAGTGGATGTGTGTGCCTAACTTTAGATTATTACAAATTTTGTGGGTAAAATAATTTTATTTTCGCTCTGAAATATTTGGATATTTATATTTTCAAATACTTTAGATTATGAATAGTAATAATAATAATTATAATAATGACAATAATAATAATAATAATAAATAATCACTTCTTTGTTATATTTTTTATGCAAATTAACGGGAAAAAGAATTGAAAACGCATTGTTACATTTGAACTGGATTCAAAACGAACAAATTAATGATTAGTAAGTTTCTTCATCCAAGAATAACTATTTCCTGTTTAATCTATTGACGTATTGCTGCCAGAGAATCAAGTTCTAGCATTCAACTTCGAGCGCACAAGGATGACAAGTTAAAAACAAGACCAACCACTTCGGAAACTTCATGCCTCTAGCTGTGTCAGTTCGAAGAGTTTACTCAAAGGACAAAGGATCCCATGTATATTATACTCACCAAACATTGAATAATTTCAAAACATATAGTCACTTAAAACTACACCATCGACAGGTACTTTCACTACTCTATCGAATTAAAAACATTAAAAAAATAATTTTGAAAACTAAAATCAAGAAAACCCATTAAAGATCAGCTTTGACAATCTAAAAATTAATGTAAATTAATTTAATTTTAAGTATGAAAAAAGCAAATTATTTGGGTCTCGTGATGAATAAACTCACAAAAAAAATATTCTTTGAAATAATTTTAGCTTAAAATGTAGTGTCTCCTATCTATATGAGGTAGGACAGGTGCAAAAAAATGAGATCCTCTTTTGTGATAAAATAACCTCAATTCTTGTTTTAGCAAACAGCTAGTGTATAAGGTTTGCAGGACACGCTTGCAGCAACGTTGATACTATTTAAAAAAATTAAAATGGGTAGAATTAATAAACAACTTATTTACCAACGAATTAAAGTAAACAAAAAGTAAAGCAGTCAATTAATTTTAAAAAATCCCATTTTTATTTATGAAATTTAAACTAAGAAAACTCGATTTTGAAGTTGAATGCAATTCAAAAAAGTTAAGGAAAATAAAAGAGCAAAACATTAGGAAGCTTATTAGACAAATTAATATTTATTCTAAAGAATTATAATAAATAATAATAATATAAAAGCAGTTACTATTTTACATAAATAATTCTGATTAAAATTAAGAAAATTAATGCAAAAGTTGATTTTTTTAATTTAAACTTATTAAACTAATATAATACTTTATATTTTATTTTTATTTATTAACTTGCTTATTTTACTTTTTAAATTTAATTTATACTTTTCTTTTTCGTATTTTTGAATCAAAACCAATATAAAATTCTATTTTTGTTCATTTTAATTAAAAGTATTCAGTCATTTGTTTTAAATTTTAGATAATATAAAAAGGGAAACTAATTTGAGTTTTTAAAATTTAAATGTTAAATTTAAATATCCACAACGTTTCCCATCGCTTGTAAAAATAAGTTTAAATATAATTTTAGCAGCTGATTACATATAAAAAAAGATTCCCTGCTGATATTATATTAAATTCCTAGAAGAGTCTTTTGTTCGGCACAGGAAACAGTATATCGGGCTTGTTTGAACACTCGACAGAACAAAGAAGAGAAAAGCAATCTTTTCTGTTCATGCAGAAATCGAACAGAAGAAAATGATTTCGTATGGTTCCACTTCAGTTAAATGGTTTTTAATTTTGCAACAAAATGGACACAGTTTGCATTCGGAAGTTACAATAGGTTAGTAAAGCAACAATATATTTTCCTATTTTCTTTTTTAATTTTGAAAAAAAACGAACAAAGACAATTTTAAAAAAACAAGAAAAAAATGCGAGGACAATAGTCTCGAAGCTTCAACATATGTCTCCATGTCTAATGACCGATGTGGTGTGTCCAACTGATATTATATCGAGGGTCGTTGGCATTCATTAGAATTACAAACAAGTCTCTCTGCAATTACCATTCATTGAATCAACGATTGGTATCCTCTAGTTTAGAGTTCATCTGGATCAAATCGTGTCTACTCCTATAATACATTTCTGTATCTGTTAACGTTATTAAGTGTCGTTAAAAGTGAACAAAATGAAGTGTTTCGCGACTTTTATATCTATTTTTAAAGTAGAAAAATAAAAAAAAAAAGAAACATAAATTCACAGGTCCGACGTTCGACAACGAAGTACTCAATACCTAGTCTAGAGGCCCAGTGATGGGATTTGGCCGCTTATACAAAAAAAAGGGTCGTAAAATGACTACGCGTAAGCATAACTCGGTAGAAGGCCATTTCTCATAATAATTCTAGCAGCTACTCGGAACCGTTCAAGGCTTCATTTCTCACCTGTTTTCTATTCACCTTGAAAGAAAAAATCTATCTACAAATACTTCTTACATCATTTCTTATAAAATCAAATATGCTTAATTACCTTACAATGCCAAAATTATTTAGTTAGATTTGTTTTGCTTTAAGACGTACAGACAAAGTTTTGTGCTATGTTAAAACTTTTAGACGTTTTTCTAGATTGCATAAATTGCCATATAAAGTTAAATTTGCTGCTGAAAATCACTTTCAAAATTTTCAGTTAAAATAGTTTATGTCATATGTATTATTATTCATAGTTTGTTCCTGTGCATTTACTTTTATGCGTTATGCACAGATTATATTCTTATTTATCAAACAATGTATACTTTATGTATTACAAAACTGCTGATATATTTATATTTTATCCAATTTATTATAATTTCTTAAATAATTATTTCGACTATAAGCCTATAATAATCTGTACTCAATTATGGGACCACATTAGAGAGATTAACTATTTTATTTTAGAACATAAAAAAACTGAATTATTTATTATAACTTAAAAAATATTTCAAAATAAAAAAATGATATATGATTATGAAATGCTAAAAAGCATAAATGCTCGTGATCCATAACAATTTGAGGTAAATTACAGGAACATCATTTATCTAAATTCAAAACCATTACGCGAAGATATCATTCGCAATATCTTCGCGAGATAGTCCAAGTTTATAGCCGCAATATTTAATAAATAACATTTTATAACGTAATATTTATTAATTTTAATGAATCAAAAATAAAGATAGATAATTCATTAATGTTTTGAAACGTAACTTGGCGCGCAACTTGTTATTTTCGCGCACGATTACGCTTCGATATTACCGAGTTATTCGTAAAATTAGAAAAAAAATGGGCAAACATAACTTATTATATAGTTCATTGTAAGAGAATGAGCATTTAAAATAGTATGGAAAAAAAAGACGAGAGTCGATATCCTGTTAATGGCAAGTTATACAGATGTACTTAAGAATCGATAACGAAAATGCCAAACTTCTTTAAGCTGTAAATAAATATCTATCGTAAAAGAAATAAGAAAAGAAGTTAATGAAAGCTACGTCATTAAAGTGTAACATCCCCAAACGAACAGAACATTTTTCTTTTTTTTTCGAAGTTTTAACCAATGGCAATGGGTGGTATCTAAGGTAATTGACTACTCGTAATACCAGTTTCTATCTAGCACGATTTCGGTACAGATAGGCGCGTACAAAATATTTCTTTATTTCTTCCATTAGGTATTCAGAAATTTCAAAATATGTCAAAAATATTAATAAGAAATATACCGTATATTTTGACCTTATTTCCTCCGGTTAGACGAGTTCGAGTCGTTTTATAAATAAACGATCGACGATTCTACTTTGATCGATGCTCGTTGCTCGTAAAGAAGTAAGCTTTTATTGTTTAAATGAATAAGGAGAATAAAATATTATGAGAAAATGTTGTTTTACATAAATTTATTTTCAGATTATTATGTATTGAAGCTACTAGGATGAAAGTTTATTTATTCCTTTAGTTTTTTCCTAATTTCTGCGTGATTTGAAAAATAAATAAAAAAATAAAACCTTTCTTTTACTAAACAGATTAATTAATTTAGTGACAAGATTTTGTTCAAAATTTAGTCTTAATATTTTTAATTTAGGGTTTTAACTTCATAAACTTCTAAAATGAAGGTGCTACTGCAATTTTAACCCTACGAGTTTTTCTCTATTATAATTCAAAATAAATTTTCTATCGGGAATTTATTCTATTCCTTTATTTTATTTTTTGTTATAGTTTCTGTTGAAGAGCATCAAAAAAATTAGGGTAAATCTTATTGATTCTTTAGTAACATACAATGTGCCCGAAAAAGCTTTGTTTAGGTCACCATTAATCGACTATTGTTATTTAATACGAAAAGGAAAGTAATTGAAAATAAATGAAATTAAAATATAAAAAATAAACTTAACTAGATTTTTTATAATATTACCCGTAATAATATATTACATTTTATTATTAAATTTATTTTCAGTTTATTATGTTTTGAATTATCTTTTACTATATCTTTTACTATATCTATATTTTTCTAATACACTGCTTGACCAAAAAAAAAAACTTTTTCGGCACGAAAATGTCAATAAATAGCCAAAATTTTAATTATAATGTTTAGCAAGAATGTACTAATATAATATAGATCTATAAAAATGCAGAAAGAGAACTTCAATGGCTATCATCTTTAAAATATTAAGGGTGTTAGGGGTCCTCTTATTAAGATTCATATTTTTATATTAAATATGTCGAATGAACAAAAATAAGTATAATTTATTAATAATTCTAACTTATTTTTATAAATTCAGAAAGCTCACAACCATTTCCAATGAATTTTTCGACCATCTACATTATACCATCTTAATACAATAGGGTAGTATAGGACAGCGGTTCCAAAACCATTGAGATCTGTCGATCCTTCAAAAATCAAAACAATGTGCATCCAATTATTTATTTATGCATGAATATGTTTATGCATCTGTGTAAGTTTGAAAACTGGGTTTTCTGAAAAGAGAATTAAAAGTTTTGTCTGTGAAACAATTCAATTTTATTCAATATATTTTCAGGAAAATAAACGCATATTACTAGATGCTTTCTGAACGCTTCGTAGATTCTCTTGGAACTGATCAATGGACTCTCGGGGGTCCTCTGGCTCCAGTTGGAGAACGCTGGTATAGAGAGAGATTATTGTTTGAATTTCTAATAAAGATCCTTCTTTACCAGCAAGATTAGAATATAGCTTTAAATATGTAATAATTTATGTCATTTTTTTTTATTTCGGCATGATGTATACAGCAAAATGCTTTGATAAAACTTATCGATTATTTAATCATATTTAAATTATATAGCCTGTATACAAATACATATTTTAAAAATTTTGATAGCAGTTAAATTATATCTGCGTGTCAGAATGTGACATTTTTCTATGCTGAGGTAAAAGAATTTATTTGGATGATTAAATTTTTACAGATAAATAATACATTTTTAATATAAAATTGATATTTTACATTGACATGATTAGGGAAATTTCTTAATAATTCTAATTATCCATTTTCTATAATTCTTTATATCTTTCAATGTTAATTTTAATATTTTTAATGATTTAATCTAATTTCTGGAATTTTTTTGACAATCTTTTGAAATAACGTTATCGATCAATAAATTCCTACATGAAAAATTAATGATAAAATTATATGCTCGTTTATGCATAAGGTTAAGATTTATTGTGGTTTAGTTAAGAGAGAAACTAGATATTTAGCGTATCGAGAGAAATGCTCCATAGCCTAATTGTAGGGACCGCATTATCGGTATGGGTCACGATGTGGGATGAGACTACTAAAGCTGCTATGTGGGAAGGAGCCGAGCACGAACGCCATTACAAACATCACGGGCTTTAAAACTAAAATGGGAGTCGGGTCGCGACCTCGGCTTTCAGATTCGTATCTCCTCTAGTAACGTCCTCTATTGCTTTACCGTCTTTACAGCCTAACCTATTAATAGGTGTACGATTTACACTGCTGTTGGGTCGGTCACGATTTTTCATCGACTTTCTGTTAAATTAGCCGGGACGAGTCATTATCTAATGCACGCGTCTCCGAGGAATAAAACACCTACAACCAATAGTAAGACATCTATCTCCTATAATTTCCGGAATTGTAGGTTTCAGACTAGGTTTTAAATTATGTAATTCGATATTTAATACATTTTCCCTAACTTCTTTAACAGGAATTTTAACAGCTTATTCGATTTCTAGAGTATAGTTTTACTTAGAATGCCAGGCATTGGGTTTAAAGTATATATGGAAACGATATTATTCTCAACCCACACGCCATTTTTAAAACATTAAAGAACGGATCTGGGAACTTACTTTGGATATTTAATGTGTCAACGAATTAATTTAGTAACTCCACCCCGTTTTTAATCGTTCCACTTCCTTATTCAAAACCTGTTCGATATGGCCAATATCTTCTTATAACTTTTTATAATAATAGAACTTTTATTTATAGTTTCAATATACATCCCTCCAAGGACGTAAACATTTGCACCCGTTTTAACGATCCATATTGCTTACAAGTGCATGAAGTATGAAGAAAAAACGCCATACAGATTATTTAGTATTGAAGACATTGATTTAGATTCGAGAAATACAAACAAAAAATGTGGAATTAAACAAAAAAATTCAAATGATTGCATTAAAATGTGTGCCATGTGTACAGTTTAATTGCGTATTGTTAATCTGTATAATAAAGTTCACTGCACTTATTGATATGTAGAGAGAGTAACAGTGAGTTGATGAATTATAATAATTTTTACATATTATATTGAACATAAAAATTAATATTATCGCCAGTTTTTGTTAGGATAAAAATTTTTTCAGTCTGTTAATATTTCATTAATTATAACAAGACAGAATCGTACTAAAACTAATTAAATTACGATTCAGGGTCTTCAAAATATATATATTTGAATCATAAACTCAACATTTTGTTTAAAAATAAAAATGAGAATCATAAAATAACATATAAAAGAATAAATTCTACGATAACTTATTGAGAAATTACACAAATTATTATTATTTATTGTAAATATCTTTCATATATTTGAATTTATCAGTAATAAATATATTTTACTACAATATTCAGTAAAAAGTTGTTTAATTAACACTTGGTAAAAGTTGTTCCTTACAACTATTCTGTAAAAAATTTCAATTAATTAACTTTTTAAAACTACTTTATCATTTTAAAATTAAAATAACAATTACAATATTTTAGAAAGAAAGAATAAAGAATAAAATTTACATAACTTCAATGTAATGGTCAATGATTCAATTTTTTTTTTATAAGTTTGCTTGGAAAAAATTAATAATTTCCTCTAGGTCAGTATTATATTAACTATATGAATCAGTAAACTCGTCCTCTGATCTTTGTACGTTTTTTCCTTCAATTTTTAGAAAAACATTCCATAAAATAGACTATACTCCTTTAACGCACCAATGAAACCACAAAATGTATGTAACTCATAATGTGATGACCTCCACAGTCAAACGCCAGAATGACCTCTTTATCGCTCTGCTAAACAGGAGAAAGTATCAAAAAGTGTATACACCGCTCGAATAATTATCAGTGAGAGAAATTGCAACCATATTCCTTTTTTATAATTTTCCTTTCGTTTACTGATTATACATATTGCGTTTTGTTTCTTTATTTTTATATATTTTTTGATAAATTTAATTACTTTCTTACAGTAATAAAACTTTAAAAGAGAATAATAAATAGACTGTAAGTGATTTTAATTCTCATAAATTGAGAATAGTGGATAAATTTAGCCTTGCGATCCCTTAGAAATCTAGAGAGCAACAAAGAAAATTACTAAAATACCCATTTTAATAATAGAGATGATTATGCGTAATACTATTATACAAATTTTATCAGAATTTATGCTCGATTTATTGTTAGAATTAATGAAAATTTCGACTTTGCACGCTTTCAATAGAATTGACCCATGCTTGGCTCGAAAATATGCCATAAAACACAATAGTGTTACATAAGCGCTTCGTTCTCTATCGACATGGTTATTAGGTTGCAATTATCAGATGTATCGAATTTTTCAATACAATTTAGTCACGTTAGCTTCCTGGAATGAATTAAGATGAAAAATAGACATACGAAATAATCAGTTTTAATTTAGTCGATAATAAAAGTATGAAATATACTTATGGAGCATAAAATAAATTTGTATTTGCATACAAATGCACATTTCAAATTTTATTATAGTACATTGTGAAATTTGTTTTTTTCTTTTTTTTTGTAAAACCGATAGAAAAAGCTCAAAGAGTGATTGACGCCACAAATTGAATAGCTCTGGGCCAAGCTATCTATTTAACTCTTAAAATTAAGAAAAAGAACTTGAGTTAATGATACTCATTAATAGATAATAGACAAAACTATTTGTTTAAATATAAGATACGTCTATACAATATAAACGATAAGTGCTTTGAATAACGTTACCATCATTCATGTATACTACTTGTTTCAATGTTTTCCTGTAACTATATTTCTCATTTAAAATAAATTATGAGTTCAAATACGTTATTGAACAACTTGCAAGTTATGTTTATGTAGGAATTAAAGCTTAATTTCAGTTTTAAAATTGAGTAAAAGACACTAAATTTGACTTTTTCCTTGTTTTTAAAAATGAATACAGTACTGTGCTAAAAAGTTAACTTAGGACCTTAAATATAACTATCTATATTTCACGAATAGTTAATTTAACAGGATAAAAATATATATTAATATTTACTTTACATAAATAAAAATAATATATTTTCTGAAGATCATTTACGCATCATTTTCTCCTTCATCAGCCATTCTCACATAAAATATATTTAAAATTGCTTTACTTTTTAAGAGAATTTTATTAATATGTTTAAAAGTCAATCTTGAGATTTCTGACAAAGAAATAAAATCCACTTATGTAGATCAGTAAACGTTAGAGGTATTGAATTATAATTACGGCCGTAATATTAGATTCCATATATTCAATTGAAAAAATAAACCAGTCGAAAGTCATCCTTAACTAATTTACATAGCTTTAATATAAGAATCTATGCGAATGAGAAAGTTTCTTTGTGAAAAACGAGAACATTTTATAGATGCCCGAGGGATATCATTCTTTTCACCAATGCCAGATCCAGCTAAACGAGAATGTTGATTCTCGTTCGTATCTTTGAATTTAAGCTTATTCTATGCATTGAATGCGAAACTAATTTTGAATTTTCTAAAATTATATGATTAGAATTTTCAAGATCTAATTCTAAAAACATTCTATTTATTACTAGAGAGTTCCAAGAAAATATTTTCATCCATATTTCATACTGGCATTATCCTCGTGCAAAAAATTAATTGCACTTTCTATATACTTATTTTTTGCATTAATAATTGTATAAATATATATTTAAACGTCTTAATTATGATAGAGTATTGTATCAGGAGATATCACCTGATATTTTGATGGGTCAAAAAATTAATGGTATATAAAAAAAAAGAGTAACACATTAATAGGTTATCGAAGCCATTAAATGAAGAGAGGAGGGAAAATGGAATGGCCAATTCTATCGGTAACTTTACCGAGAAGATGGGTGTATTTAAATGGTGACGTGACCTATTTACGGAGAGAATTTTACGTCCTACAAAAACTGGACGACATATACTAGACAGGAAACGCCTGGGTTTGACTTCCCGTCACGTGTTTTACCGACGTAAAAGTCTCGTCAGATCGAATCTGTTAGAATAGTGTCCTTCGTGTTGTGTCCTTCTCGTTCTGTTTGTCTGTTATTTGGGTCGGAAAAGAGTCGATTGTGCTCGACTTCAATCCATCAGTTGTTCTTTGAGAGAGGAGGAGCAGGTTTCATACTATTAATCTACTTCGAAACTAACGAAAGCCTAACAACAAAATTCGATTTCTTCTATCAAAAGAAGAGTTTCTAAATTTATAAAATGGAGGTCAACGGTAGAGAAAGCAGGAAAAGAAACCGTAGAAAACCAGTCTACGTTCGAGAAGTTCCCCAAACCCGCCATCCTGAATCCAAACGAGAAATGTCTGCTCAAAACTTATGAAAGAGAAAATTTAGAATGATATATTAAAATATATAATTAACAATGCAAGTTTTTTTAAATTTTCACTTCGAGTTTATTTTACAGCAATAATCACCATAACGTCAAGGAAAACGTCATCTCCCAAAAGAATTTTTTTTTTTAATCTCCAGAAATAATTCCACATATCCAACTTGATCTACCAAGCGTGTTTCCCCGAGGCCCAAACGGGCTGCAGGCGAAACATTGCTTAGAAATGGAACAAGAAAATTTTTGTCTGCTTATTTTTATTCCTTTTTATATAGAATCAAGTTGGCTAAAAGCGTACCGACCGTTAATATGTCTGCTTGTTTAGCAGCTCACCTCCGCAGGAAACAGGTGAACAATTTATATCTAGCGAAGGGAGCAAGGTCTACAATATAGAGACTAAAATATTCATATCGAGATTTTAAAAAATTGTTGCGAAATTAATGTAAAATATATCATAAAAAAGGCTCAAATTCAGTATAAGTGATGTATGATAAAGCCAGAAAAATTCATTGTATTCGAAAAAGTTTTGAAAAATTCATGCTGGAAAAGAAAGAACAAAGAATAAATCGGACTAGAATTTAACACAAATCAACTTTAAAAAAGTATTCTAAAGGGGCGATTTATAAAAAATATGAACATGAATTAAGTTTAAATTGTAAATCTAACAAAAATTAAAATAAAAATATAACAAATTTATATAAATATTCTATAAATTAGATATGAGAAAGTAGCCAACTAAAACATTAATTTAAATGTTTAATATACTGTAAATCAAGAAACAAAAACTCTTAAAAATAATAATGATTAAAAAAAATTAAAAGAAGCAATAACTAAAAACAGAAGCAAAACTCAAGACAGAGTAAAGAAGTTTAAATAAACGAAAAATAAATTTATAAAGTATATGTTATACAAACCGAAATAAGTGAAAGCTTTATTCAAAATAAAATATATGGATAAAGCGAACAGCTGCTACATACAACAAATGAGAAAAAACCTGGATTACCTATACAAAACGGCATTTCACATCTGTCGTATGACTCGACAGTCGGATACCATTATGAAAAAAAGGTCCCGGTATCGAGGGGGAAGGATTTATGATGGGAGACTTACTTGAATGAGTGGTTAATCCCGAAAGGAGTCAGTCACACAAAGCTCTTCCCGTCTGTGGTGGTGCCAGAAAAGCGGTCGTCCGCTCTCCACCACGTCTAAACAACGACTGACTGCCCGACAGGGAAATCGGAGGTCGCTACCCTTATCCTACTCCCTCCGCGTGTCATCTCTAATACCGGAATAGCTTGTTTCTGCGGATGCGAACAACCAGATTATTTCGTTGCCTTTTCCACTTGCACTTTTTATCTTACGACTATTTAAATACCCGCTTTCTATAGTAACGGGAATACTTACTTTCTTTATCTCCTTCCACCGACTCGAATTCTTTAACTTATCTTGTCTAAGAAGCTCTAAAACTTAGCTTTCTGAATTACATGATAAAATATTTTTGTTCTCATCTATTTATCTATAATTATATAACTTTAAAATTGTTTTTGTAAGATTTATTCTCATTGGAATCCGGTCGACCGAGACTTTCTAGTCTGCCGGCCAAACCGAATTCATTTGGCGCCATCTGCCGATTTGAAATGGTATTACTAAATTTGCATTTTTAATCAAAAATACATTAGTATGTAA